CAGTTAATCAACATTAACATATCTTATTAAATAATATTCAACTGCTCGGTTGTCTCACTGCAAGAACCACTTTTACCACGTCTTTTACAGACAATATGTAGAGACAAATGGTAGCAATTCTCACAATGTAAAATAATAATTGCCTTAAATACATTGAAATGTGAAAGCTGATTATAGTTGTTACTTTATCTATTTAAACCAGAACGTTTCTCGATTCTTTGTACAGTATGAAAGGAGTCTTTGTACCTTTGAGTCCATGCTGAAGTTCACTGATGTTAGGAATAGGTCTGTCTCTCGTGGTCAGCATCCTCTGGTCTGTCTGCATCACCTGGAAACTTTAAACAAACAGATGTATATGTAAAGTAACAATGTGTTGGTCACAGACTTGTTTTTACATGCAAACGTCATGTGATAATCTTTTTGTTATCCTTAAAAAAAAGTGCTGGATATCAAAGCCCACACACACGTAAGGGTAAAAGACAAACATCTTCAACAAATGTAATGCAATGAATAAGCTTCATTGTCACAGAAGCACACATAACGTCATATCTAATATTTAAACAAATCATTTCCTTGTCCCTAAAGCATTGACTGAGCTATTTTTCGTCCTCAAATGCAGGCATTAAGTTACATGTTCACGTTCTGCTGCCACAATAAGTCGGTTTCTCCAGTGTAATGATAATAAAATGCTAAGTAAGTATTGGTAATAATATTAATAAAAACAACAACGTTTGGGTTCGTTCGTTTAATATGATGAACGTTAACCAGTAAGCTTCAACAATCAACTCCAGCTCAACAAACCATATTGCAATATCTACGTCAACGTTATTTCTGGAACCAACTGGAAATGTGAGATTCATATTGTTCAGATACACAGATCTTATAGTGAGGTTAATCTCATACTCTGCTCTTCAACACTAATGTGACGCTAGCTGTCTGCATCGTCGAGCATAGCTATTTTAAATTAACAATAACAATGCAGTTACCTAACTAGCAAACTAACTAATGTACAAGCATGACCTTATTTTACCAACCTCACCGAGAAGCCTTATGTTTTACAGTATAATCCTTCTTAATGTTTTACACTTCTCCATTATGTTTTAACTTGTATGCTATGGATAGCATCGTTAGCACAGATGTAGCTTCGTCTCGCTTGTTAGCTGAATAAAAAGACAAGTAAGAAATAAAGTGCTTGAATTTCACTTACCGAATAAACTGCATTCATGGACGGTCTGTTTGAACTGCAGAGCCATAAGATAAGTGCGATATTTCAATGAAGAATACTCCTCCAGGCATCAACACAACAAACACGTCCGAGTAGTAGCCTGGAGCTAATGAAGCTAACGGGGCTAGCAAAGAGACCACTAGCAGATGACTTCCGTTACATTAGAATGACTTCCGTTACAGCAAGAATGACTTCCGTTACATCAAGAATCCCCTCACACACACATAGGTGAAACACATGCACATTCCCTACTGAGAACCTTTCAGTAAAATGTTTTTCAGTAGTGTGTGTGTGAGGTTAATTTTCAGTAGTGTGTGTGCGAGGTGTTCAGTAATGAATGTGAGAGGATTTCAATAGTGTGTGTATGACGTTAATTTTCAGTAGCGTGTGTGTGAGTTGTTCAGTAGTGAATGTGAGAGTATTTCAGTAGTATGTGTGCAAGGCCAGATGTTTTCAGTAGTGTGTGTGTGAGGATTCAGTAGTATGTGTGCAAGGCCAGATGTTTTCAGTAGTGTGTGTGTGAGGATTTCAGTAGTATGTGTGCAAGGCCAGATGTTTTCAGTAGTGTGTGTGTGAGGTGTTCAGTAGTGAATGTGAGAGGATTTCAGTAGTGTGTGTGCAAGGCCAGATGTTTTCAGTAGTGTGTGTGTGAGGTGTTCAGTAGTGAATGTGAGAGTATTTCAGTAGTGTGTGTGCAAGGCCAGATGTTTTCAGTAGTGTGTGTGTGAGGTGTTCAGTAGTGAATGTGAGAGTATTTCAGTAGTGTGTGTGCAAGGCCAGATGTTTTCAGTAGTGTGTGTGCGAGGGGAGTTTGAATTTTGGCCTACACGGCCCTTCATAGTAAACTGCCCCGCCCCCTCGCAAGCAGGCGGGGGAGAGATCTCTCGTCTGAATTGGGAAGATCGAAAATACATTATAGACGCATTTTATAGTCATATTGCATATTAGAAACGGAGTTGGCGACACTAAGACTGCGATATAATGTTTATGTAGGCTAGCAATAATACATATGACATATGTTTTAAATGTCTCCTGTACGGTCCTGTATATAGCCATTTCAGAGACCTTATATACAGGACCGTCCTGTATATAGCCATTTCAGAGGGTTGTGTACAGGACGGTCCTGTATATAGTCATTTGGCGTTGTGTACAGGAAGGTCCTGTATATAGCCATTTCAGAGACCTTATATACAGGACCGTCCTGTAGGCTATATAGCCACTCCCGTATAGGCCTATCACTCCAGGGGTGAAAGTGGTTTGAATTTCTTGTTGGTACTATAATGCTACCCCGACCTTCATTGGTTCATATTGTTCTCCTCCCGCCCCCGGCTTCATGCATCCCTGAACACAAACTTCACATTTGTAATGCCTTTATGGGGTAGAAATTAGAAACACTTGACAATATGTGACCCGCTCTATCGAAATCAGTCGGAAGTCGCAACGGCTCATTTCAAAATAAACGTGGATTTACGTAAACAACTATTTGTTCGGGGTTCGGGTGTTTTGTTTGATTTTAAACAAACAAAGTCTTTCAGAATATGACACTTTTATTTCCAAAATCACACGAATATACATTTTTGAAGCTTGTAAAGGGACGAAGACAGGCACCTCTCCCTCGCAATCTGCTCTTCCGCAGCGCCGCCCCCCTCCCTCCGGCTGAAATTATGAAAGAGTATAGTAATCATAGATAACACGACAGGGTCCGTTACAGTTTGTTTTCATCTGATTTCAATTAAACAAAGTCTTGGCTTTCAGAATATTAAACTTGTTTCGGCAAATTCAGGTCACAAATACAACTTTGAAGCTTGTAACGGCATAATTACAAGCGGAGAACGGAATAACTTAACGTCACTGCAGGCATAACAACAGCCGGTGTTTCTCGTGAGTGTTTTCCCCGGGAAACAAACACAATACGCACAAACGCAAAAATACACAAACACACACACACGTATACACACACACACACACACACACACACACACACACACACACACACACACACACACACACACTCGCGAGCTTTTCCCAGACCAGTAATCCAAACCAAAATATATTCCCTTCGTAGTATACATTCCACGGGTGGAGCTGTCAATTCTTCCTGGTCCTCCGGACCGCCTGGAAATCTCTTACCGGTACTAAGGACCGGGTAGGACCGGCACACTTTCAACACGGTATCACTCAGTATAACAGGCCTACTCTTTTTATTTGCTTTAGTTTAGTAGATATCTAAAAACACAGAGTCGATATTTTTCTAAAACCATTTAGTGCTTCACATAATAAAATACACAACGGCTGTAGCCTGTTTTAGGAACAGTATGTGCGTGTGTGTGGTGTATGTGTGGTACATTGTGTGCAGATGCAGCGGACAGACAGGTCTCAGTTGGTTTGGTGTCCTCTGCTTACTTTTAATACTTGTAAATAAAACTTTTGGCCCGTAATTTATTTTCCTCATTGTAGCGACCAGAGAGGGGAGGGGGGGGGGGGGGGGGATATATCCAGTCTCTGATAGTGTTACGTTATTATGAGAGTGCTCTGTTTGATTCTGAAATTGTATATAGGCTATTTATATAAATAATATATATACATATAAATATATGTGTGTGTATATGTCCGCATCTGTAGCCTGTTATTGTCTCATTATACCGCACTGTGAATGAATTAAAAGTAAATATATAAGTCGTCATGAACACATCTGTCCATCAGACAGAGGGCTGCTGTGCCTCCTGTCATCATTAATGGACGTCTCTTTAAAATGACCGCTCAGAGGAGAGGAGTTCTCATTTCTCTAACCGCCTGCTGCTTCCCCTCCTCTCTCCTCGGTTCTCCTCCTCGGCTCCTCCGCTCGCAGGGGAGTTAGAGTCTGCTGCTGGGCAATGTCCGATCGCAGACAAATATCAGGACTGTGTGACTCCATCATGGCATCCCAGATCTAGCTGGTCACTTAATGAGCGGACCTCAGGACTCAGGTGACATAAGAGGACAGAGCTCTGTGTTTGCATCTATCATGGATGGGTGCGCTAATCTCAAAGTAGATTGACAAGTTTCTCTGATGTTATATTGTAAATATCTGCTAAAATAATTTAATATTGTTTTTCTTCAGGCATGCACTACAAGTACTACTGTTTTTATTAGGTTCTTCCCTGTCATGTTTTTTCATAGAAACACTACTACACAACTGCATCTCAGTGTGCAGCCCTGTGTTGCATAATGCAAACACTATAAACGCTCCATAATGAAACAAACTTTGACCATGACATTGAAAAGGCTGAAAACTTTGCATTCCTGTCAGCATCCAGCCTGCATAAACACAAAGGATCAAGCGTGATCTTGACTTTTAGAGGTTACTAATGGTGTAGTGTAAACAAATACTCAGCCTTGATGAATCATGCAGGTGAAAAGCCGGCGTGTTAAACATACAGCCACACATACATAAACTGTTGATAGCTTCTTGTTTTGGTGGATTACTTTGAATGGAGACATGTGGCTTACACATTGAACATTATAAACTCCATGTCACAAGGCTAAGTTAACACACATGCTGCTCTGATATTAAGAAGTCATGCATTTTAACTTGCACTTAGTCCCTTCATAAATCACTGGCACCCAAAAAGGCAAATGTAATATTTAAATCACCAAAAATGATGTTACCTAAAATATTCAGGATGTTCCTTTAAGCATAAACCGCATATATAATTATGATAATGTGCATGACGTCAGAGGATTCGTTAAATATGTATAGCCCCAGCACATATCTTCACAACTTCTTGAAGAAAAAAAAATGAAGGCTGAGCATCAAAATCCTATTTGGAAGCGAGCAGAAAAATCCTGCTGGTGAGTTTTAGGGACACGGGACTTTTTATCTCAGTCGACACGCATCAGTGAGAAGGAGGATAAAGATGGGCGTCAAATTCTCCTCGGGTTCGTTTGTTCTTAGTGTTTGATCCACTTCAAATTACTTAAGAAAAACTTGTTTAAAGGAGGACTGAGACATGTCTTCCCTTGGAAGCTGCTTTAATTGTATTCTGCTCTAAGTTTCTCGCACACTTCAGCAGCCTATGAAAAGGAATAATGCGATTTACGCGCAGTTGATGCATCAGCGAAGCCACCCCTATCCTCTTATGCCAGTCTGCCTGACTTTAGAACCTATAGTATTGCAACCAGTATTGCCAGACCACACACCAAGAGAGGAGGAATACTCCGATGGAAAATCATGCAGCACTTTGAACCCATGGAGACATGGCACATAGGTTCCTCTCATCTACGAACAGATTCAGCGCCAGATTCGCCTTCATATTCACTGTGTCTTTATCCTGCACATATTTATGCTACAGTATTCTTTTTTGTCGCAGCACAGTTATGACAAACCGGGGTTACGAGGGGAGAAGATGCCCGCCGAGCAAGAACGCAGGAGGGAAGAAACTTCTTGGGAAATTAGACAATTGCGCTTCGCTGGAAGTCAGGTCTGCTCTGGATGGGTCCGCTGCCCCGCGAGGATACAGCGATCTGCGCGACATTAAAGCCACTGCCTCGTCTGGTCACTCGGATGACATGAAGTTAAGAAACATGAGTGTTGCCCAAAAATATGGGAATAAGAAGCTGCCTAATGCGTTAATAGTCGGTGTAAAGAAAGGAGGTACCAGGGCGGTGCTGGAGTTCATCCGGATACATCCAGATGTGCGAGCACTAGGAACTGAGCCGCACTTTTTCGACAGAAACTATGACAGAGGGCTGGACTGGTACAGGTGAGGAACACGTGGAACACACTTATTTGTCATGTTTCTGAGACAGATGCACTTGTCTTGATATATTATTTGCATAAATGCTCTGATTTCGACAGTCACCCGGTTCAGTGCAGTCACTCTGCTCTGCTGGGCAGGGGGACTCTTGGGATATGTAAGGTCCAGACAATACTATGTCCAAATGTTTATTTAATCCGTTTTGTTTACACCTTTCTGCAAGTCCAAAGCACTTGTTAGTCATATAGTTGTTTTAAAAATGATTTGAGCCTATAATTCAATTTAAAAGGGCACGTTTTGCTGTAATTGTATTAATATTATGTTTGGGTCTATCACACATACCAACATGCAAACTAAACCAATGCAGCATACCACCACTAAGATCACAAGTTATTTTTAAGTCTGTATGATGTTTTTCTCAGAGCTGCAGATGTTAGAGTTGAGCTCCATGGTGCTGAACAGACAGCTCCATGAGGCTGATGTAGGATCAGTTCACACAAACTGACACAGCCATCAGCACACCTGACACCAGCAGCCCCCAGGTCAGCAGCCCACTTCAAACAGGCTGCACTAGGGCACACAATGTTCTGGGTAAAGGCAAATAACTCACAAGGTGCACCGAGCAGAGCATCACCTCTCTCTCTCTCTTTTCCCAGCTCTCTCACTTCTATAGCATTCTTAGATGGCCTCTGTTGATTATAATCTACTGACAAGATCTTTACTTAAACTGAAATTTAAGCAGAGTTTAATTCTTCTTTTCACAAAAACTGTGATGATCAAGTACGCAGTGGGGAAATGAAGTGGCACTTGAGTCTGCAAATGTCCTCCAAAATGCTTGATGGTTATTTGTTGCATTATGTCTGAAAATGTACTTAGATAACAAAACGGTTGGGGCTGTTTTGTAAACTTATGTTATATTTTTTATATTACAAGAGGCAATGCTATACCCCTAGATTCTGCAATTAAGGAGAACTAAAGGTGTGTCTCTTAACCAATTAATGTTTTGACCCAACAATGTTGTGAACGAACAGACACTCTATCATAAACTAAAATGAATACTCCAGTTTGATTTTAGTTGTTTTTAGCAGTCGGGTTGTTTTGTTCTTAAGTCCACTAAGATGTATTTAGTAGCTTAGTCAATTAAAGGGCTTTCTTCATGCTGAATGCAACAAAAAAACATTTCTGGTTAACACAAGCTTTAAAAAGGATGCTTTTGCAAAACTCTTTATGGAGAAACTCTGTTTTACAGATCTTATAATTAAATTACAGAATGTGTTAGTTGACCAATTGTGATTAAAAGTCGTTTATGAATGTCTTTAGTGAAGGCAAATAAAAAGTAATGTTGTATTTGTTCATTATTTCCAATTTGTAACATAGAAAAATACAAAATAATGAGAATAGAAAATTAAATATAACTGCAGTGATGACATTATGAAAGAAGTGTACTGCTCTAGTCCTGAACAGGAATCAGTCATTTTCATCTTCTAACTAATAAACAAAAGCTATAACATCCCACAGATGCATCTATTTAAGACACAACAAAACGTCATCAATAATTGTAATGTTCATTAAGATCTCCTTCTCATTTCACTTAGTTTTCCATGCATTTTACTTGGTAATATATTTTAGGCAGTATTATTTGTATTCACAGGAAAGAGCTTTTCGAACACTAAACTTCCTCAGGGTCCACTGTATGGACAGTTATTCTTTATTCTTGTGTGTAATACACAAATTCAATTAATTTGGAAGAATTAGCTAATTAACCGTGTTGCTCTCTGTAACACTTAACAGAATGAGCTGGAAAACTAATTGAAAACCTCAGCAAACACCTCGACAAGAGGATGCTTGTTTGTTGGTGAAGGAAGTGTTGATTAACATGATGTCCAAAGGAGACAAAGTGTAAAGTCTTGTGTTTTACATATTGTAACCAAGCATCCGAACACAGCAGACCAGAAAAAACGGTGTTGCATTTTTATATCCCTCCAACAGATCAGATCAGACACCAACCCAGCAGATATCCTCCTGCCCTCACCATTAGTCTTTTCACTGCACCAGCAACCTTCCTCTACATTAATCGACCATCTTAATGCAGCCTAATGATGCAATAGCAACAGTTCACCAGAGATCTAAGTTTTCCTATGTTTTCTCTAGTGAGGTCATTCAATATCTCATGCTAATATGATGCAACAATTACTAAGGAATATTGCACACGCTGACAGTTGCTTTAAGAATATAATGAACTCAAACGCTAGTTTAATTCAGGCAGAGTCAGCTGTTTTTTACCTTGATGAGTGACATGTCATTTGACCGGCCCTCAGTGATTTTCCGTCACAAAGTATCTTTACATTTTGATTTACTTTCACATTTATAGCACGTCATGTAATGAATGTATACCTTTCACATTCACTTTGTGTTACTAATTTATCAGTTGTCATTTCCATCTGTCTATCAGTGGCCTGTAATTTACAGATAGTTTTATATAGATAAATCAGTTATCTTTCAAACACTGAACGCACAATTATTTTGCGGGAAAGCAATTCTTTATCCATGGACTTTTGGCAGGCCCTTTACACCCAGTACAAAGACACATCTGAACTCAACACCTAGGGAAATTGCACCTTTGTGTAAAGGTAAAAAACACATATCCTATAAATGAGACATTAAGTGTAGATTTGGATGAAAACATACAGTAGAAATATAAACGTATGCACTCACAGAAAGAAGGATATCTATTGTATAAAAAGACGTCATATCAAAACAATGTACCCAGTTCATGTGAATCCATATGAATTTGCTGCATGGCTCTGTGAATGGCAGGGCTGAAGTGAAATGCCTGGACAATGGTTGAAATGAAATGAAACAAAACAAACATAAATGATCCAGATTACATATGGATCCCATGACTTCTCTATTAGTGCCACTGACAGGCCTCTTTTTACATTTCAGTTCATAACATGATTTCTCTAGACACTTTATCCCATGAGCTTACAGTCACATGTGGAAATGGATGCTCGCATAGCATACCAACAAGCTAGAAATGAGCACCTTTCATCCTGATTAGATGTTAACTGCTAGGTTCATTCTTGTCCTTGACAATGGAATCTTTCAACTCATTCGACAATTTTAATGTGTTCCTAATGAGCATTATAGCCTTGCCTCTTGCTGAATGAATGCGGTAATTATTTGATAACTGAAATTGCCATTGATTAATTGTTGGTTAATTTGATTAATTCATTTGGACATGGAAGTTAATTCTTGACCTTGGGCTCCATATGTTTGATGCAAAGCCCACTAAGTAGCTTTTTCCAAACTGCTTCACCATCTCATATTCTTTATTATCAAAGTTGCTACAAGAAATGGACATCCTCATCCTCATATAACACTTACAAAACGTTGTTAACTATATATAAACACTCCATTCTTGGCATAGACACTTTTTTCCTTTTAAATTATTCTTATTTTAACTTATATATATGCTGAACAGACAGAAACATACATGTGACATCAAATTAACTCTCGTCAGTTTGAGTGTGGTGGCCACTTGTTCGGCACAGTCTGTCCTGTTACATTAAGCGTGTGACAGATCATTTAGCCTCCCAGGAAAAATGGTGCAGTGTTCATTACTGTGCCCCCTGAACAGAACACACACGTGGGCCTCGTTTATTTTATGTGAAGCTATTCACACAACCACTGATAACACAGACATTTCACCGGCACAAATATCCTCGCCACTTTTTCCATCCTCCACAGAATCAGAAAGATCAAACAAAAACACGTCGCTATACACCATCAAGACTTAAAGGGTATCTCGGCTCTATTGATTTCACAGGAGTCGGAAGCACTTCCAGTAGATTCTCCGAGAAGGGTTGAAATTGTATGAGAGGCTGCAGCAACAAATATTCTCCAGGTCCACATTAATTGGCTCGGGGAAGCAGAGGCTCGGAACAGTATCATCTGAAAGGTTGATAAGGACAGAAAGTTTGATGGTTCTCATTTAACACAGAAAAGTGCACATAATACAGCGAGGGATTGTGAGGCGTAACTTTGCATTATTAATGAGTCGTCTTCATTCCAGTGTAGCTCAGAGACATGTAGTTGTTAACATTAATTAAAAAACAATTCTTTCTGGGATGTTTCCCCAATGAAGTCTGAAGTGTGGAGACCCAGTGCTTTTATTCATTTTAATAAAATAATTCAGAGTAGAATGTGAACATGCATGCGTACATTATGAAACAATTCCAGGGTAAAGCAATTGAATAACCAAAAGAGCCAATCCTGCAAATTTGAGTCTAGCATTTTGATATACTGTGTAATAAAATAGGTTATCATTTGGTCGGTCCACCACTCTGTTAGAAACTAATATCTCACAACTATTGGATGGATGGCCTGAAATTCACATTCATGGTGCCCAGAGGATGTATCACGACATCCTAAGCGATGACCTGACTTTTCCTCATGTATTGCCGTAATATTGTTGGACACATTCATGCTCCCCTCAAGATGAATAGCAATAGCTTTGGTCATCTGTGAGACTGACCAGTGAGCGGCCCAGACCAAGCAAGGAGGCAGAGGCAGAACGTCCAAAAATATAACCTGACGTGGGCATTTATTAAAATATGAACACATTACACACAGCCTCAATCCTGCTGCTGCTGTTCACGTGAGCCCAGCCTGCAGCCACCAAGATCTCTCACACACACACACACACACACACACACACACACACTCCCTGCCAGCCTCTCAAACAGACAGGGCAACAGACCCTAAATACACCCACTCTAATCAGCACAACAAGACACAGGTGAGGGAGGAGGAGACAACACAGGACACCAGGTGCACACAATCATCAGCCACAGACATCAACTGTACTGTGCAATCACGCTAATAAAGTGCCATATTACCCGGCCTGAAGCCGTCAGTCCATAGTGACGAAGTTACCTTCGTCACATCATCCCTCAACCCCTCCTTCGTGCCATCAATCATTATCATTTGTCCATTACTTAGGT